ATTCCATCAAAACCTTTAATATTAAATATAACCTTTGAGCCTCTAGGCTTATATTATGTTATGATTATACCCTTCTCCACAGTGTGTTTAATTTTCATTCAAGCGATTTCAGACTTGTCTCCTGTAGTGTTCGTGTAGTTAAACCTATCGAGTTTTTAAATGTGATTTAGCAACTGCCAGTAATTTATATGGTGCTCATAAGCATGATTTACCAGCATATACACTCATCTGTATTGATTTTCTTACTGTTGTGTCACATTAATTAACATGAGTGTGGGTGGTCTAAATAATGGCAGTTAAAGTGAAACCAAGTCCAGATGTGTTTAACTAGTCCACAGTTGCAACTATAATTGTATAATTCAAATATAATTTGTGGTTAGGAACTTAAGAAAGTACAATGCTTCCTTTCATCTGACAATTTGCATAGTGCAGTCAGTATTTATTAATTTATTCTTTTAGCCTATTATGTCGAAAAAAAAGAAAGTGAGGCACAAGGACGCAAAAGACGTGCACAATTTGCAGCTTCGATGGTGGAGTCAAGTAAATTGATGAGAGCTTTCCCTGCTGGAAGTGATGACACCAGTAAGCCCGCATCTGTTCCTTTTGATGGCAAGAAAGAGGTCAAAGTGCAAGATTGTGAACATGCTATTTCATTTGAAAAAGAAAACAATGAAGAAACTGTTCTCTGTCCTGTTGAAAGCTACAATAATAATAAACAAGGGGATTTCACTTTGTCAAAAACAGATCCACAGAATAGTGTTGCTGAACTAAAAGATGATGACCTAATAAATATTTTAACACACATGGATATTGTATTTATGAAGTTTGATACAAGAGGCTCAGCAGTTGTAACACATGCACATCACACAGAGATTGTTAAAGTTGGAGCACATGAATTTCAACATAAAGAAGGTCCATTTGATGGCAAAAATGGGCGTTCTATGACTACATTTTGATTTAAACGACGCCTTCTGAATGGATAATCGTTCCTGGTTGGTGTATTCACCTCTACATAGAGCAGCATACTGCTTTTGTTGTATTCTTTTTTCATCTACATGTATGACATC